GATGTACCACTTTTTTGGTACAATTCTCTACCGTACATTTTTGCTAAAAGATAATACAGTCCTATACTGGCTCAAACATCCAAACAAGACAGACGCACCGTATTGTACTGACCTGCTGGTTTTCAAGAAACAAATCCATTGTCCTAGAACACATTCCAAAAAGTTACAATGTATTTGTACTGTACAAAATGGACTAGCGTTACAATGTATTTGTAGAAATTAGCAGAATCCTAAATTCCCTATTAAAATGGATGAAATTTCTGAGAACATTAAGGAAACTATGAGGGCAACTTGTATTGTGAGCTTTAAAGATTGAATTCCGAATTGAATCGCTGCTTTTGTTGCAATGAAGAACAAAGCATTATTTCCAAGGCTTTATCAGTGAAGCGATCGTCTTTTGAAGGGAAACATTATCAATGCAGCAATCTTGCAACGTTCTAAAAGATCAGCTTTCTCACAGGTGTAATCCTAGACAAAATATCGCTCTGCACCCACTCCTGTTCCCCGCCATGCCTTCATTCCTTATTCGACAGTAATACTGAAGGATTCTTCTTACCTCCTTCAAACCCTTCAATAATACTGTATCACCTACGAATTGCAATTGCTCCTAAAAGCCTTTTTTTGCGATAAACGTTATGGTTGCTTATTGCAGCAATGATCGTTCGCTGAGTTATCGCAATAATGCTCTCGGATCTAATATCCTCAAGATCGTGGATGTAATCCTGTAATTATTAAGATGACCAGTTCGATGCAGTGGTGGCAAATTGGTCTCACACACGAGCAAATGCAACATGCTCGATTGATCAACGCGCAGCCTGTCAAGCAGATTCATCATCCACCTAGACACTCATATGAGCTGATCAGAACAGCTCGACTCGACGTCGGAGGAATACGCTATGTTCTGGTGCACAAACGTTGCTACAACTCTTTGCACCGTTACTACGGTCATACGGTGAGACTTTATGAGGTTCCTCAACAACAAGCAAGATCTAAACTACTCGTCGAAGAAATCACCTCATCATCATCATCATCCAATCGCTCGTCGAACCGTCCTCAATCACTAGCAAATCAGCACCGTTTCAACTCAGTTCACTCAACAAAACCACAAACATCCACTGAGACGGTATAATCGGCCATTGAACCGTTTCAATCAATTTTTTATTACTTACTTCCAGTTTTTCAAATCCCCATAAACATTTGACAAGGGCATTTTGTAGAGGAAATGGACACAAGCACTGCTACCACAGAGGCATTTCAGTGTAATCAGACGAAAGAACACGAACGGCACTACTTCGATGAGTAGCACTGCACAAAATTCGAACGCACCTGCACAAAAAAATGCAAATTGCATGAACTGCAATTGCCATAAATGAAGTATAATAGAATTCACCAACATAAAATGATCGTTTATTCGGGAACCGTCCTCCAGTTTTTTTTTACTTTTCCGTACTCAAACCATATCTGACGCACAACCTTCGCAGATTGTGAGGGTCAATGCAGTGTTGCACATTCTTTCGTCACACTATCAAAATGGTTCTCTCTGAGAGGAATTGTTAAAATTCGTTGAAGTATTATAATCACCTAAGTTCTCAGCAGGAACTTAGGCCAACGTTCAAGCCTGTGTCTGATGCTAAAAATTGGGGCATCAC